ACAATGTCCTTTTATCATTGCCATGTAAAACAAATGATACCGCGCAAAGGTGTTTCTTAGTTGAATGTCTTTTATATGAGATATCCGTGAATTAAATGGAGACTTCTGGAGGTTTTAAGACGATTATTTATTATTAAGATAAAGTTTTATCAGTTTTGTTCCCCTTACTTTAATTAGGGAAGAGGAGTAATCTATACTATTATGTGTATGCTATAAATAACTACCGAGGAATTATGATCTCAATGCGGAAGACATCGTAAGGGTAGCCACATGCATACAGTTTTTCATTAAACCAAAACTGCTCAATTCCTCGACTGCGTCAAACGGACAGGCTCCCACAAAAAGAGTAATTTTTACTCCTAACACAACAATATACCATTGAGTTAATAATATTTACTGGAAATTATAAAAATAATAACTTGAATATAGCAGCATGTTTTATAAAATTCGAAGGAAGCAGATTACAACTTTGACAAAACAGTAATGTCTTTTTAAGTTTAACTTTTTAGACAACTGGAGTCTGATCAGTGAACATCCTAGTTGTTGATGACTCTATGATGCTATAGAAATACCATCATAGAGCCATTGCCATTTCAGGCTTGTTACTTAAAAGGGCCTAGTTAAAAGGACCTAGTTGTCCATATCATATTTTTTTAGGAAAAGATAAAACAATAATTGTAACCGAAACAAAATGAAATCATCTTCCCCATGAAACAAAATCCCCAACATAGCTTTGAAAGATCTTGTCCCAGTGGAAAATCCAAAAAAAAAACGCAAAATCAAGTCAAGGTGCAAAGTCTGGAGTCAATGTTGTGGATAAGATGTGCACTCATAATTATTATGTCTAGAAATAGCAGGTTTTGTCACTTTTCTTAATAAGCTTAATTTTGCATAACTTAATGTAATATACCTATCTAGATTTCTTTCTGAAAACTATCGCTGAAGGATTCGTTAGGTTAGTTATTCTAAAAATATTCCAAGTAAATAAACGGCGATAAAATTTATTCTTTTGGATGTCGAGGAACCATCAAGGTCTACTAAAGTACATGATCTTGAAATATTACAAGTGAAAAAAGGTCCAAAATTGACAAAAAAATTATTACAGGAAAACACAGTTAAAAAGAGTAACAAGCCTGAAATTGCAATGGCATTTCTTCGGTCGAATATGTGGCGCGAGAAAATTCAGGTCTGGGGCTCCAAAAAGACATACTATGGAGACCACGGAGCAACCCAAGAAGTATGGGCCGACCAAAAAAGACATAAAGTTAAGAGTCTATTACGCTGTTCTTTCGGGTCTCTCTCAAGGGTCCGCTAAAGCGGGTGTGTAGCCGAACGAAATATATATATATATATATATATATATATATATATATATATATATATATATATATATATATATATATATATATATATATATATATATATATTGTATTTCAAATATCTGCCTAAGGCTTAGCCCAATCCTGTCATGTTAAGCCACACCCAAAATTCCAAACATTTGTGCTTTGATGAAGGCTAGATGAAGGTTTGCAGAGATTCAGCTACCATACGGATATAGTATCATTCTTTATCTTTAATTTCCTTCTTCATTTGTGTAAAAATACCTAGCCAGTTTTACAAAAAAGGTTAAATGCCGAACGCTTATTTTGCCACCTTTTCGAACTAGTGAAATAACTATTAAGATAAAGTTAGAACAGCGGCACGAAGACAATGGATGAGATTGGCTGAGGAGATCGCATAGCATGGAAAAACTTAGAATAGGCCTATATCCGACGACAAAAAAAGAATGGTATCTCAAAAAAATTGTACATTGAGTTATCACTCATTGCAAATTGTTTAATAACAATATGTTTCTCAATCTTAGGTTTAGGTAGGAAGTTTATTTAACAGTTAATTTAAAGTGGTTTGTTATTTGGCACAAAATGGTAATGAGCCAAGTCTACTTTACATTGCAGCAGTTATGGAGGTGGTAACTTTTGACGAATGATGTTACTTAAGATACTTATTTCTGTTTAAAGAAATACACAGAGGCAACAGAAGCAAATGGAATATTCGTTCTAGTCTGGCATAAATTGAAACATTTCTATCTCTTGAATCAATTGGTCAATGACACTGTGTTCTGCAAATCATATGTATAACGGCCGCAAACCATCGTAGATTCTTTATTTAATTTGGTTTGCTGTTTGACACGAGCGAGTAACGAGTGGTATCCTCTCAAAACTGCAGCAGTTTATTAAGCAGGTATATAATAATAATTTTTAAGAAACCATTTTTCTGGTTAAAGAAATAAACTGAGCCAAAATTTGGGCTTTCGATTTGAGATGAGTCGAGTCCTCTCAAAACTAAGCATTTTGAAGAAAATGCTTCAAATGTTATATTAGTAATTATGCATTATTAAGTTAATTAACACAACAATTTGTTTAAATAATAATAATTGTAAATATTGAAAAAAATTTCAGAAATGGAATGTGGATTCAGAAACTGCTTTGACCCCCTTTGCTAAGGCATTGTTGATAGATTTTACTTATTCATCTGATGCACTTGGAACAGCTAACTGTGTTTTTCCTGTAATAATTTTTTTTGTCAATTTTGGACCTTTTTTCACTTGTAATATTTCAAGATCATGTACTTTAGTAGACCTTGATGGTTCCTCGACATCCAAAAGAATAAATTTTATCGCCGTTATTTTACTTGGAATATTTTTAGAATAACTAACCTAACGAATCCTTCAGCGATAGTTTTCGGAAAGAAATCTAGATAGGTATATTACATTAAGTTCTGCAAAATTAAGCTTATTAAAAAAGTGACAAAACCTGCTATTCCTAGACATAATAATTATGAGTGCACATCTTACCCACAACATTGACTCCAGACTTTGCACCTTGACTTGATTTTGCGTTTTTTTTTTGGATTTTCCACTGGGACAAGATCTTTCAAAGCTATGTTGGGGATTTTGTTTCATGGGGAAGATGATTTCATTTTGTTTCGGTTACAATTATTGTTTATCTTTTTCTAAAAAATATGATATGGACAACTAGGTCCTTTTTATACTATCTAGTGTAGGATATTCAAGATTATCAACCCATGCCTTGTTAATTTTCTGTGTCCTCATACTCTGCTTAAATCGTGTAGGCTTCATAATTCAGAAATTTTTTTTCTCGGGGGCTGCTCTTCTAGTTCCTCAATCCATTTTAATAAAATGTTCTGGATCTTTGCTTGATCGATTTTCTATGCTTTCATCTATTTCTAATACACTATATTTAAAAAATGGTACATTATTGTTTTATCGCACACCTACCAAAACTATGCCACGGCTACTCACCCAGGGTATTTAAATACCCCGAGGATTTTCAATACGGTATTTCTAAATGTTGATAAACGATATTTCTTGAATTGTTGAAAAGATCTTCTAGCACACATATCTACACACTACGGTTAAAGAATACACTAGGCGGATATAATTTTGACAATCCCACACCAATATATCTAAGTAAAACATCCGTATGGTGTACTAAAATACCCCGCACAAGTGCTAGAGGGTAGAGAAACTTCTTTTTGGGTTAAGGAAATACACAGAGGCAAAAAGGCAAAAAATATATCTGTTCGACTATGGCATCATCAAGGAAAGATTAATACGTCTCTATCATCCATTGAAGCTTGTTCAATAATACTGCGTTTCGCAAGTCCTTTGTGTAAGCTGCCGCAAACAATCGCAGGTCGTTTATTCAATTTGGTTCGCGATTTGGCAGGAGCGGACTTCAAACTGCAGCAGTTTATGCGGGTGACAGTTTATAAATGTACCGGCGGCGGTGCCGGCGTCGGCGGTGTCAGGAATACGCCCTGATCAATTCAGCGCGGCGAGACGCTATACATACACGTATTAAAAATATAATATCCGTTCGCTTTACGGGGACATTAACACGCCATGCCGTTTCCTGCGGCGCGCAATTTCGAATTATAACTTTTCGTATGTAAATGGACGACACGCAGGAGCAGGCCGACTGACGTTAAACGGCATTACTATTATCCAATTTTCGCACAACAAATTGTACAATAAAGGTTTATAATACAGCTAAAATAATAATTGCAACACCTGGACACCTGTAGTACCAAATTTCATTACAATGCAATTGGGCAGTTTGGCAATGTAAAAATGTTATCGTCCAACTAGTTTAGTAGTACGATACGACGTATAGGATCTGATGAATATGGAAAATATTAGAAAGTTTTGGTATGAATTTATGGAACTGTAGGTACCAGCATTCATTTATATGAGACGTTAGATAAAAAAAAGTGAATAATAAGAAGATCAGAAGCAAAATGCTAACTGCCATCATCGCATTCCCCACTAGTTATCTAATCCATCAATCTACATCTACAATCCAGGCTAATATGCTAATTGATTCAGTATAAAGAGTAGATAAATTAATCAATGGGCACCATTGTATATATAAATCTCGGAACATAGGGGACAGTTCTTAGTCTCACCATTCTCAATTAACCATACTTGAAACATTCAAAAAATTATGTTACCGAGAAAACATCATAATGTTGTCAAATAAGTCTGTTACCAAATATTTCTTAATGCTGAAGTACCTGAATAATATTAAAACGGATGTGCTTCACAATGATTACTTCGATTTATAAACCAGAGTCATTGATACGTCAGGCTAAGAAATATACACCACATCTTACGATATCTTATCCACTAGAAACTTCATTGGAGAAAGCGTAAATTTTAACAAGCTGTTTCTGGATCATAGAGTAATAACATTTTAAGCAATTCTACTATGAAAATTCTTACAATATGGCAACCGCTTAATAAAGCATACTAATGCTGGCAACCTCAGTGGACTCTCGATTTCACCCAATTCCGTCATAGGTGAATGCTCTAGTATATAAACTAAGTAGTTCTAAGGGTTATATTAGTCTGCATTGGATTGGTTAGTGACACCTACATTTACAGTATAATCAGAACATATTTTATTGTATTTTTATACTTTAGGATCGTTAGGCTTAGTTTTTCTTCTTTTAATCATGTACTTCACAACTAGTCTTTCCATTCCATCACAGAGGTTGAATTTGATCTTTTCGACTCCGCTTTTCCTCCCTCCTATATTACTGTTCTTATCCATCTATTACAGCTTGTTCTTTTGCTATATCTGTGCCATCGTAATCCTTTTTTCATCAATGTGGCTATATTACATTTGATTTTGTGAAATATTTGACGCCCGTCACTTTATCTCCTCACGAGACTCGAGCGACGCGCTGCGCCGTTTGATTACAGTAATAACGAATTAGTTGATACATCTCAACGCCAACTGAATTAGTACCGGCCGGGCGACTTAACTAACAGCTATCAACGCTTTCAGCAGGGACTGTCGTTATCCTTAAAAAATCCTACCGCTTTACTACAAAAGTTCATGTTTTTAGAACTCTTATTACCTCTAGTACCTCAGAAATAACAATGTGTAGGTCATAATAATCTTTTTCATCTCACTAAACTATCGAAAAATAGGAAAAATAGGTAGGATATTATTTTAATTCAGAGTAATTTGGAACTTATTTGGATTCAGGAGGTCATTTGTGTCAGGATCGATTTTTATGCAGACCTGTGTAATTCCAATGGCGAGCAATGCATTTGCACGGATTGGATGAATGCACAGGAGCCAGCTTAAAGATGAACGCGCACTGAATTGTACAGGCTGGCCGGTTGACTTAACTATAAAGGAGGGCGCGCACTGCATCGGATCGGACCGACCAGCAAAAGCGACTGCGACCATCGTAGATATAGACGGTTTCCACTAAAAAAATTGGCCTGTAGAGGCCAGATAGCAACACATAACACAACATGTTGCTATATATAGAAACAATAATACATTATGTAAGAAAGTTTTACTCCCGGTCAGAAATATATTTACTTACCGCCTTTGTAAATCAAACTATGGTTGATCAAACCGTTTGTGAAATCAACGGAAAGGTAGTTGACGCATTTCAATTTTTCAACCCTAACTTTCTTCGCCTTAATGATGCTAAAGTCAAGAAAGGGTTTTTTTTGGGTCCCTATATTAGACAGTTTATCGATGATTCGATTATTGTTTAGTAACTAAAATAATTTTTTCACATGTTCAAGTTACATTCATGTCCATAAAATTATTATTAATTTCGAACAGCGATAAAAATAGATATGTGGGTCCCCCGAAAATAGTGGGCCGCAGAAGAAAACGCTCTATTTGGATTCAGAATGTCATTTTACGTAAGGATTAGTGGGAATAGACCAAGCTCAGAATTTTTCTTTTTTTACAGACCGGTGTTATTAGGGTCGAATGGGACATCTGATTTTACGAACTACCTACAAAAATTTCTTTAGCGTGCAATATTTAAAGCCACTAAATTTTAATAGACGCGGTTTTTATATTTTAATTATCCAATAAGATAATTTACTTTAATTTACAACATTACATGACGATTTGATAATGATATAGAATATTTTTTTAGCGTGGTAGCTGTGTAAAGTTTTATTCCATATGAGAGGGTGCGGTTTACTACGGCGACTTATTAAAAATATCCTCTTACTTACCTGTCCTGTAAGGAACATACATAATAAAGATTAATGAATGTGGACGTACGACGAAGTTATATGTTTTTCGATGGATCTTCACGATCCATCCCATCAGCCGAACGGTCGGTGTAGGGATGTTAATAATCTATACCGAACTTTTTTAAAACGGTTAACTGAACAAAACGGTGTTTTCATAATTGTGGTTATAATCGGCTATATTTGTTGAAATCGGTTAACCGATAAAGTTGAAACTAAAAGAAAAATTGAATATATTCCAAGTTGACACAATATAAAAATTAGAGCATTAAGAGAAATACTTGATCCACTTGATTCCTGTAGTTTTGCTACGTTTGCTAGTTGTACAATTTAATCAAAAAAAAAAAAAAAATAGATCAAATATATATCTTCTTTTGCAAAGTGTTCTAATAGAATAGTTAATGCGTAAAGGTTGGCAGTGCTGGTATTTACATTTTTGTTCTGTGTCTACTAATATACATATATGGACTGGTAGCTGGTAAAGGCTTACATTGATAACTTCATTCATTAATGTTTTCTTCTTCGTTATTATTGTAATTAACTGGTCTCCGATAATAGTTTATAGTAATCAGCAGTGAATATCCGTACTCTGTTTTTTCGTCATGTCAGAAGAACAATTAACGCAATATTGACAATAAAAAGAAAATCATTGATGTAAAATAATATCCTTGTTTTATAAGAAGATATCAAGTTAAAGAGATGAAGAAAATTGAGACAGATCCTCCACCTCACGTGTACCTTAGCAGGAAACATGCTCCTCGACTATGAACGACATGGGGGCTAAACTCTAACCGTGAAAAGGTGTATACGTCGTAAGAGGTAGTTGATGATGATGAACGTAATGTTGTCAGAGGAGGATGGGAAATACCCTGTAACCCCTACAACAGGAAGATCCTCATGTATGATGAGTTATAGAGTGTATGATGAGTTAGTTATAACTCAAGAACGGATACACAATAGATTAACCGCGATGATATCATTCTACCTTTCTACCCTTGTTTATGTATTATAGATATTTCAGGGTAATATATCAATTGCTTCTATCTAATTGCTGCATCAGCATCTGTACTTGTAGTAAGTTTATAATTTAGAAACTATTATCAAACGGTTATTCGTTTAACTGATTCATTTATGGTCGGTTAACTGGATAGGTTTTTATGTGGTTGAAAAAAGGGTTAACCGATAACCGTTTTTTTATAACTTGACATCCCTAGTTCAGTGTATCATCGTCGTCGATTGCATCGACGGGCCGAGAGCATCGCAGAGAGAGAAACCCGGGGTGAATTCCCAGAAGCGGCCGCTGAACCGAGGACCTTGGCGGCGGCCAGTCACGGCGCGGCGGCCGACGGCCCAACAGACCGAGCGTCAGTGGCGGAGGCCACGAACGCGGCCGCGGTGCGACACCGACGTCGCATGACCGCTACCCACGTTCTAATTAATAGGCCGGAATCGCAGATCGCGCCTATTAAAAACGCAAACCGCACTTGTTTTTTGGTTTCACGTTTTTATTTTAAAAGTAAAGTAATTTAACATATCCTTTTTGTTGCTAAGACTAATCTGGATGGGGCCTACTTTATTTATGCGGAATAAGAACCGCGATCCTCGGCCATATCACGGTCAATGGCCTACCGACTTGGCGAGTGTCTAGTTTTTTACTTGAAATCGTTTATAAAAAAACAACAAAACCATCAAGCCTCCTCAAACACACAATAATAAAAATTTCTGTGAAATGTAAACGTGTTCCTGCTTTACATTCTATACTTTTCTTGTGTAGGTATGAACTTAATCTAGTAGATACTGTAATTAAGACATCAATACCGTACCGAGAAAAAACGCAAATAGACAAAAATGAACCAACAAACCAAACCTAAACAAACCTAACCAAAGAAATCAAAATACGATGTACGTATTTTGATTCCAAACCAAACTAAAACGCGTCTGTTTACGAATTCCAATTGCCGAGTAGTTTTCAAATCTTTGATTTGATTATTGATAAAATAGTTTGCAATATTTTATCAATAAATGAAAATTGTACACTTCCGCAAGAAGTTTTTTTGCGTGTCTATGTTTAAAAAAATTTCTAGAATAAAAAACAGAAACGTGTTTTCATGTAACGATTTAAGCTCTTCTAAATTTGAAAAATGAAAATTATGCATTTCCGCAAATTATGCATTTCCATAATACAAGGCTGGGGACTGGTGGACAACTTTAAAGCAGCCAACAACACGCTTCGAAGAAATCTGCGCCAACTAAAGGATAACTAGTGGTCACAAAAATCAAATTAGATTCAAGAGTACGCCGCGCATCACGACTATCGTAAATTCTTCGAGACTGTAAAAGAAGTATACGGCCCAATTAAGAAAGTAAGCTGCCCAATTAAGGCACAAAACGGTGAACTTCTAAAAGAGGAAGAGAATCATAAATCGCTGGAAAGAACATTACAGTCATATCCTTAACCAAGACAATATCCCCAATATGCAAGCACTAAACACAATACCTCAGTAAAACAGCATCGATGTATTAGACATTTGACATCCCAATAACGGAACAGGAAATAAAGGCCTCCATAAAACAACTTAAAAACAACAAATCGGCTAGCTGTGACGCGGTTCCAGCGAAATCTATAAGTTTGCAAGTAAAGAACTTATTGTTCATCTTAAGGCTCTCTTCGATATCATATGACAAAGCGGAGAGGTTTCCTCAGGACTTTCGCAACGCGAATATAGTGAATATATTTCAGAACAAAGAAAATGCATCAGATTGGGGAAACTACCGAGGATTTTCACTACAGGTTATCGGAGGAAAAGTTCCCGCAAAAATTATGTCAAACCGCCTTCACCCACATATAGAAATAATCCTCCCAGAATCGCAAACGGGCTTTCGCACCAACCGCGGTACGGTTGATTCCATATTCTCCGTCCGCCAACTACAGGGAAAAGTAGAGTAAACTTTATGTTGCATTCATCGACCTAACGAAAGTCTTCGACTCTCTAAACAGAGATGCACTTTGGGCAATTATGCAAAAGTTCGGAGTGCCCAACAAATTTTTTACTGTGTGTAAAAGCCTCCATAACAATAACAAGAGTGTCACATCATAGATCACTGAGCGATCCCTTCCTGACAAATGCATTTAGACAGGGATGTGTCCTAGCTCCTCTCCTATTCAACATATTCATGGCAGCGCTCTCTATTATCAAATACGTTTAAAATACCTATACCGCGGCCTCCCCATAAGAGCAATGAGAGAATTTATGTCCCAGTATTGAAGGAGGACAGAAAATCGAGTCGAATGGTTTCAATACATATGTTCATCCTTGTTTAGTCAAACCTCCTACCACACAAGGATAGGCTTATGTAGGAAATGCATTGAAATTCTATAGCTATCCTTTAACATCGGGACAGGAATTTAAGCGGTACCCTACGTATAGGTAGTTTAAACGTATTTGTCTATTATAGTGGACAGCAAACTGCAGGAAAGAGGAATGGGTGTTAGATACAGGTATGACGGCGGTCTTTTCAACATAAAAAGACTCAGGG